AGAACAAGAAAATACAAGATGAATTAGAATTATCCATTTATGAAATTATCCAGAATTCTGGGTGCATATAATGTTATCGAATATTTTTAACCCTACATAGCCTTTAGGTAAATTATACTTTATGATTAACGAAATTTGATCATAAATTCCTGTTACACCGCATTAATTTCAAATTTGGAAAACTTTTAAGATATTGTCATTCGCGACAACCCTTTCCTTCTTTCAGGGTGACAGGCGGAGATATCTACCATTCTTTTCCTTGTTGCCCTTTTTTTTTTTTTTATCTTCGTCCTCTTCTTTGTTGTTTAATGAAAGCAACAACAAAAATAGATCAACCTTTCCAAATATTCGCGTTCAAACAGATAAATTATACTTTTTTTTCTACATTGCTATCAATAATTTGAAAATTGAATTATTTCTAAAATGTCATATAACAATGATGGTTATTACCAACCACCTTACTCGTCAGTATCTTCAATGCCAACACCAACTCGTACTCCACCACCGATAGCTGGTGCACCAACAAACCCTTCAACAGCTATATTTAATGCTATATTACATGACAATGTAGGATTAATTAAATCAATTTTGAATCAAACAAATTATGATCTTAATAATCTTAGGAACAAAGATGGAAAAACTCCTCTTATGGTGGCTGCCTGTAAAAACTGTCCGCTTGTTACTATGTTTCTATGTAATCTAAACAATTTAAAAATTGATTTGCAAAGTTAGTATTTTTCTTGATTCTTTAAACTTTTTAAAATACGTTTGATTTATCTTTGTTTTTTTCGTTATAGACAATGATGGTGATTCAGCATTGCACCAAGCTTCTGCTGCGGGAAATGTTGAAATCGTTGAAATATTGATTAATGCAAACGCGCGTGTCGATTTGCGTAATAATGTTTGTGCGAATTCATAACGAGCGTTCTTTAAATATAAATTTAAAAAAATTCTATATTAAATTTAATCTTTTAAATATTTTTATTATTAGGAAAATATCACTCCGCTTATTATCGCCTCTTATAATGGTCACTCCGACGTTTGTCAAACTCTTATTGATCTCGGTAATGCAAATGTAAATTTCCAAGATAAATCACGTAAATCAGCCTTATCCTTGGCAGCTTATGAAGGACACATGGAAGTTATCAAAATTTTGTTGTCTCGAGGGGCCAATACCAACATTATAGATGAGGTTTGAATGTTTATTCATTTTATCAATTATAATAAATTAAATCTTAAATTTGGTAATTTATTATAGTATGGTTGGACACCTTTAATGCTTGCGGCGTTTTCAGGTCATTCAAATGTGTGTCATTTATTGTTGGAAAATAATGCTAACAAGCATATTACTGCAAAAAATGGTAAAACTGCTGTTGCTCTTGCACGAGAAGCTGGTCATCATGGTACTGCGGATTTTATAGAAAATTATGTTCCTGGTGTCCCTCCATCTCTACCAAATAGAATCCAAGCTCCTCCATCAAATATTATTCCAAAGAGTCCATCTGATCCGGTACCATATTCTGCTCCGTATGCAAAGAGTGATTACCTCCATATTCCAATACCAAGTGTGGAAGATCCTTATTCATCACCAAAGGGATTTATGATGCCACTTGAACGCAGAGATACTAGAAGATCACTTCATCCTAAAAATTCTAGTCGTCACAAAGCCCTATATGTTAATGTAGACGTAAATTCTACTGGAAATAAAGTGCCGCATATCACCACAGCACCTCATGTAAGAAAAGACATGGCTCCTAGAGATAAGGAAACTTTATGGGTTTATTTCTCTTGGGTTGTCACTGCA